TCCAAAATGATACTCTCCAAAGTGACGCACGAATTGTTGAATAAAGTCGTTATTTATGTTTTCTTTGCCTACAAAAAGTATTCTCATCGCTTCATAAAATTCAGATCGAACTACTGATGGCAGATGGACTATTTTGACGAGGTGTTTCATACTTTTCTGGGCCTTGACAGTGTTATTTACTTGGCAGTCAATGGGACAGTCACAAGCCTCCCGGTTTTCATCCAAAATATTTTAAATTGTGGAGTATCCCTTTAAGGACAAGGCACTCAGTTCACAAGGAAACACGACCACTGCTGGTCAAATCATGGCATTGAAAGTTTAAGCCTTTTTATAAGGGTTTCAGTGGCGCCCCCATACGGCCATTCAGAGTTAGACATGATAAGCACAGTACTTTATTCACTTCACTCATCTATATACTGATATTATATTGTAATCGCCTATTAAATAAACATTTCCTGACTGGAAACTACTCTCAGAATTACTGGAAGCAATCATTATTCTACTTTAAAAATGTTCTTATTGGACAAACATTTAAAATTCAAAACAAAATTTACAATTACAAGCATTAAAATACTAATTTCTGCGTCTATGGGACTTCATATTTAGAACATGTGTATGGGGACAACAAAACAAAAGACAAATCTAGTGTGAAAAAATTTATTGATTGGCAAAAATATTTAAAAATGAAAAAAATGAATATATTACATCAGGTAGCCCACATCAGTCATGAATCTAGTGCAAATATTTAACCGAACTACCCGAACTACTTCAATTGTCAATGAACAATGGAGGAAAATGCATCAGAGAAGGTCAGCCAAAAGCAAGACCTGAATAAACTTCAGCTGTAAACACAAGCTGCAATGCTCTGGTCTAAAACATTTTTTTAATAAGATTTTCAAGGCAAAATGGACTTACCTCTCAGTCCAGATGGTTATGAGGGAACAGAAACGCACAACGTAGATGCTTGTCCACTTCACTACCAGAGGATGCGGTTGCAAGAACCACTAGAATTACTCCAACATTGAGCTTACTCTAGTTACAGTGATAAACCATCAAAAACACACCAATAAAAGCCCACAGGCCTCAAGTTTACATAAACCCTAATCTCTCATCCAAACAGATGCAGTGACCAATGCACAGGTCATGTCACGTGTCAAATACCCAAAAGCACAGTTCTCAAATGTCTTTATGCATTCAAAGTTTCAAAATAAAGTACTTGAATATTTACATTAAGCAGCGGGGTGTCAAACTCAGTTCCTGGAGGGCCACAGCCCTGCAGAGTTTGGCTTCAACCCTAATTAAAAACACCTGATCCAGCTAATCAAGTCCTTCCGGCTTATTTGAAAACTACTGCTGCATCCGAAAACTAAGGCAGCTGACTTGCTGCCGTATGAGGCAATGACTTTGCATGCAGCGTTTTTGCACGAATGCACCTCATGAAACTGATTTCGGA